GGGCTGGATTTGGATGGTGGACCAGACGGCCTCCCCGGGAAGCCTGTGGCTGAGCCCTGAATGACGGAAGGGGAGCGTCCGGAGCCCAGCCCGTGCCGGGGCAGGAGAGGCATTACCTGGACTAGGAGCTTGAGGCGCGTGATCCTCTGGAAAGGCAGGATGAGGAAGGAGGAGAAGGGCAGCCCCCTGCACTTGGGGTCGAGCTCCAGCTGTGTGATCAGCTCCCGAAAGGCCGCCTTCTCCTGGCTGGGGACAGACACGCGGGAGTAGGTCTCTGAGCTGCTGGAGGCGTGAAGCGGAAGTGCCCCCGCCCCACTGCGGGCCTCCTGGGGACCAGACAGCCCACGGGCACGGGAAACACGAAGCCGTCTTTCTTCTTTGTGTTTTTAACGGAAAATAAATTGTTCACGTACAAGTCAAGTAACAAGTGGCTCCGCGCGCCCAGCAGCGAGGGCTGCGCAAACGCCGTGTGCGGGAGGGCGAGGATCCCCGTGCGGCCACGTCTGACTCAGACGCTCAGAGAGATGATCTTGCCCAGCGGGACACCGTGGCAAGGTAAGCCCACGTAGTGACGGAGGGACCTGGTAGGCGCCGCAGGCCGGGACAGCTGCTGGGAGGATCTGGGCTATGCTCCAGGTGTGGGGGCTCAGGCTCAGCATTCTGGGGGCTCGCGGACGCCTGCCTGGGAGCTAAGCCACAGGCCCCGGCTGCACATTCCCCGGGCCAGGGGATCCGCGCGCGCACACACGGATTGGTGACAGGTCACACCAGGGGTGCTCGGTGCTGCAGGGTTCAGGCTGCTACTCTGCAGGGTGCTGGTCAGTTTCCCAGTTCTGAACACCGACAGTACAACCCCAAACACCCAAACACTCAGCCTTAAAACGTCGGCAGTTAACAGCACACAGGATGGCAAGGTGGGGACAGGGGATGTTAAGGTGTCACTACTCAGGAAGTCCCCGCTGCCCCTGAGCAGAGCTAAGCCAGTCCCCAGCACACCCAGTCATTGAAGAATGCCAGCAAGGCAGACTGACTGAAATATGACCTTGTCATCTGAACCCCAAAGAAAACATAAACTGGGCACGTGAGGAGACGGTCCAGGGCGTGGCTGGAGCCCCACCAAAGAGCGCGCCCGCCCCTCCTTGCCCTGCCTCCGGCTCAGACCCCTACTCGGATGCCCTGGGCCTTGAGTTGTCCTGGTGGGGCAGATTCTCTTTCTAACCTCAGAGCTCCACCGGCCAGTCCAGACACAGGTCCCGGCCTGTTGGCTGGCTCCCCTGGGATCGGGTGGGGTTACTGTCTCCCTAGGATGCCAAAATGCCCTGGGATGCGTTGAGTGTGGCGGGGGCTCCCCCCGCCAGTCTGGTCAACTTTGCATCCACCTGGACCCTGGTGAGGGCCAGGAGGGACCGCTCCCAGGAGGAGCCAGGCCGTGTGTGGCCGGGGGGGGGGGGGGGGCGCCACACTCACAGCAGCTGCTTGTAGGTCCGCTCCTGGTAGGTCTGGTTGCTCACATAGGTGATGTACACGGAGAAGTGGTCGGCCGCGTAGCGGTGCACGATGTCGCACACGTCGGACAGGACGATGTTCTCCTCCATCCGGTGCTCCAGCTCCAGGAGGAACCTGCAAGCGGCAGCGGCCCGGGTTCAGGGTTCCAGGTGGCAGAGAGTCAGGAAATGTGTCCCCAGGCTCGGGCAGGCCGGCGGGCAGGTGAGCCAGACCCCGAGATCGGCAGGGGGGGAGCACCGGGAGATCGGCAGGGAGTCAGCACTGGCTACGCTGCCACACCAAGGATTACTGCTTGGTTTATTAGATGGGTAGATTTGCTTCAGGGTGGACCCCTGGGTGGCGGTGCTGCAGGAATGGCCCGCCGTACTGCTCACTGCTGAAGCTGCGGCCAGCACACGCTCGGTATGTGGGCATCTGTACTTGGGCACGTTTGCAATTCTCCATAAACTTCCAGAATACAAATACACACATAAACCAAAGTGCAGCGGCAGAGCCGAGGGCCCTCACGGTGAGGCAGGCCTCCCTCCACTTTCAGCTCTGAAAACACTGAACGAGGCTGCCTCGGGCGGCAGAGAGGCTGCAGCTGGAAGGGTGGGTGTCCACGTGGAGGAGGGGCCACTGAGGAGGCCACAAATAGCGAGCAGCTTCCAGGACGGGGTGATGCAGGGTGGGCTGCACTGCCCAGGGAGGCTGTCCCTGCCCTGCTGTGGTCTCACGTCTGAACCAGGGGTTCAGCGGCCAACCCCCACGTCTCTGTCCGCTGCCGACGTTGGGGGCCTGCGATGAGGTGGGGCAGAGTGTCATAACCAGAGCTCAGGGCACACTTCTCTGCTGGAGCTGGCAACTAGGTGTCCGCTGGCCCCACCTAAGCTCCCTGCCTGGGGCAGCTCCCATGGGAACGTCCCCCAACTGTCGCTGACAGTGTGGAGGGCAGACGGCACCCGGATCCCTGACTGGACTCCACAGGGCCACAGAGGCAGGGCTGCATGGAGGAGAGACACAGGCAGCTCCCCCGGCAGCCCTGTCCCTGTCCCGACACTCGCCATGGTCCCACCCGGCTGCGGTTCACTGTAAGAGCCTGCTTCAGCCCATGTGAGCCCGGGCGAGAGGTGGCCAGTGCTCACCTCCATGTGGGACAATCGGCTGACCCGGGGTGCAAAGAGCCACCCCGCTGGGAGGGGCGGTGGGGCCACGGACCTACTCCATTCACTGGTATTTTATCACGGAGAATCCCAAACATGCAGAAGTGGAGGGGCCCATGTCAGGCAGCCCGCACAGGCCTCCGCCGGCCCCGGCTGGAGGGAAGGTGGCTGTCCCCGCGTCCTCACCGCTCACTGACCGCCATGACGTCCAGGACGTTGGAGAAGAGGATGTGCGCTTCGGACGGGTGCAGGATCTTCTTCAGCCGCTCGTTCTCCATGAAGTGCGACACCAGCAGGTTCAGGCTCTTGTAGTAGGAGGCTTCGGAGGTGACCAACTCGAACATGGCCTGCAGGGTGGGCGAGCTGTGTGTGGGCGGTGGGGCTGTGGCTGGCCTCCTCAGGCAGACGGGGGCCAGTCTCCAGGACAGGACCGCGAGCTTTGAAGAGCTCTTGTCTCTGCCATGAACAGCTGGGGACAATCTTGGGCGAGACACAGGGGGCCCAACGAGAGGGCCCTCGAGCCCTGGAGCAGAAGCAGGGGTGGAGACGGCAGGAACAGGGGTGCCTGCTTCTAGAAGCAGACAAGCAAGGTCTACAACCACATTGGTAGAGGGTGGAATTTGGGGGCGACTCTACTCTTCTTTTTACTGTTTGGATTGTTTGAAATGTAAAAAGTGAGTACAGGGCCAGTAGGTGGCGTGGTGGTTAAGGGACTGCGTGGTTCAAGTCCTGGATCCGGCAGCTTGAAAACACATCAGGTCTGTGTGCCCAGAATCCCAAGAGGAGAATGGTGGAGATGGGATTGTGGTGTGGCACCCCTGTGGGGTGATGGCTCACTTTTCTTCTCCTTCTCTCTCTGTCTCTCTCTGGCAAGTACATGCAGCCTACAGCAAAAAATAAACCAATCTTTCTTCACTGTTTTACGATGTCATTAATCACGCTGCATTCGGTTGAAAAGGGGGAAGAAATCTGTGACCCAGCACACCTTGGTGGCACCCTGCCGTCTACCCCACGATCGCCTGTTCCCGAACCTCCGAGGCGACACACCCCCGCTCTGCTCTCTTGGGTGGCACTGTGTGAGGCACCGGCCACAGGCACCTGGCGTCCTCCCCTGCACAATGAACCCCACCACCCTTCGGAGCGGCCTGGGCCATCCCCCCCCCCCGGTCCTCTGCCTGCATCCCACCGAGCAGCCCCCGA